CCACATCGATTACTCGTTTCTACACCTTACCACGTGGAGTATTCACTGCAAATGTTTGACCCATTCCAGGAGAATCGTTTTAACTATTGGGAGTACAAACTTAATGAATGTTTTTATCGTTCATTATTGTAATTCATTCATTGAGGTTGTAGACCTCTCTCTCTAACTCTCACTTTCTCTCTAAACAAATGATGAAATAAGCATTGGCCAGATCAACTGGAAAACGGGATTAATAACTTAGCAGAAATGCACTGCCTTGCGTGCGTTTCGAAATTTAATCACTGTAAAAGCTTACAATGGAATTATCCAAGAAGAACGGATAAAAATGACCTGTGAATTGTGTAAAAAAAGGAACGGGCAGACGAGTTTTTTGTTCTAACGCAGGTAATCCTCCAGGTTTAACTTGTTCTATCCTTGTTACATTTGTCTATGTTTAATCATTAAAATTTAATCAACTTTATATTACTCAAATCAGAGCTTTTTGTTAGCTAATTGTTGACATAGGCAGTTATGTTTATTTCCAGTTCAAATGATCGTGCGCTAATTTTTCTTAAGTGTGGGTTTCAGCAAGCAGAGATTGTACGAGATAACTCTTATCTCGATTTACTCGCCCCTTTATAAAAAGATAGGAGAGTTAATTTTAAAATTCGAATGTGACGAGTTCTACTTATCCATTTGTTATTTATACAAGCAAAGAATTACTCATGCTCTACGAGCGATTACCCCGCCAAGACACCACTGGCTTTATAGTAAGGCACATGCAATAAAATAAATCATAGATTAGTCACGAGAAATTGGCGTAAATTTCCCTAGCCAACGCAAAAGGTCGCTTGACATAATGTGGTTTGATTTCAATGAGGTGAAAATCGTACACAAAAGTATTTATGTGTCTGTTTTGCAGAATCGCCATTCATGGCGATGTGTCCACATGTGTGTGAGAGGACGATATCGACTGGAGGAATGCTACCAAATATGCTAATCTAAATGATGTGCAGAGAAGAAAATTGGTGGTGAGTTTGCGTGTGGATGAACTCATGTTGAACTAATCGACACTGATCACTTTACTGGGTACGTCTATTCTCGCTGGTTCCCATACAGTAAATTGATCGGTGTCGATCAGTTTACCAATTATAGAAAGTGGTTAACCTCAATTTACAATAACAAACAACCAAAAAAGTTAACAATTTATTCCGGTAAATAATTAACCATCAATGACTCACATAGATCATTTATCAGAAGTAATCAGCAATTCAGCACCGTTGATTTTTTTTATATTCATTTTGTCATGGTATAAACTATCATCAACCATGACAAAAATAAAGTTTATAAAGAGCAATGTCTAAACGAATAAACGCGTACATTATCTAATAATCTGCCGATGTAGCGTTTTCTTCTTAAAATAGATGAGCAACAAGGAAAAGAAACATTTTATCTTCCTCAACTACAAGAATTAAGGGGGAATTTTTTAAAATAACAAACACATAGTATAAAAATATTTTTTTAAATATAAATCTCTACCAACTTTGTTTTTTCTGCAACTAGGTCTGCAGATTTTGGTCTGCTCTTTTCGATGGTTTTGTAATTACCAAATGAGAATAATTGTTTCAACAGTAAAAATAAATGTGTGGTGATTAGTGACCGTTAATCGATAATTATTCAGAAATCGTGACATAAATAAATAGTAAATTATGATAAATAATTACATGAGTAAAAATAAATTATGACATTTCTTATTGAGGTGTGCGGGATGATGAACCATAAGTTTGGACGTTTCCGATCCTGGTTTGGTTTCTCAGACGAGTTTGGTTTTACCCATCTTCAGTGATGCGTTCACAATAAAATAACTCACTGAACAATAACTAAATTTGGGACAAATAAGAGCATTGTTCTCTTTTATAAACGTATCATTTGAGTTCTTAGTTTTGGCCTGTTTATCTTCCAGGCTCAGGGTTAAATCAGGCACCATCGCAAACCGGAAAGACCAAAACGATCAAGCTTCAGGTTCATGACCCCGCAGACCTCCCTCATTTTTGTAGTGTTCAAATGATCCCAATTGAGCAAGTAGTCAGAACATTATGAATAGCATATAAAATTAGACGAACTGGCAAGCAAAATAAAGCAATTTCTGAGATTTCCTCCTGTGGTCGGCAGGGTGATGTACCTGTAATTGGATCCTTTTCATTGTGTGACTCTTTGAAGATAGCGAAACGCCAACCAATTCAGAGAGGATAAACAGACCAAGATGATCGATGATCATATTGAAGCTTTCCTAAATTCCTTGTCATACAGAAAAGCGTCCAATTACCAGTCAGGAACTAACGAGGAGTCCCTAATATAAGAATATATAAAAAGGAGCAAGAAGAAACTCAGAACCAAAATAGGTTTCTTGGCAAAAAACTGGAAAATAAATGATAAATATAAAATTGATATTTGTAATACGATCACAGGTTGTTAAGATCTAGTGTAAGTTCTTCAGAGGGAGAGGAAAAGCCAAAGGAGACTGCCGCACAGAGGTCAACTGAATGAGTGAATTTAATTAGCTACAAAATTATACTTTACTGTAATTAAAATTTAAGTAATTCCTGTTATACATAAGGCCCAAAGCAGAACTATCCGCTGAGTGTCGCGGAGGAGCGGTCAGAACCACTTTGCAACACTTTTTTCCATATTAATACCAAATAAAATTTCAAGGGATATGCTGGGATTCGAACCCAAAACCGCTGGCATGACAAATACGAGTTGAGCACCAAACCGTCGTGCCCTTGAACGAAATGGTTTCCTGTATCAAAAAAATGAAAATTTTTAGAATAATAGCTACAATTTATTTTCCAGGTTGAAAACTCAAATCTCCCAGTTAAATTTATATTGGAATATGAACCAATTACCAAATTTGGCTAATTTTTAACGGTTTTTTAAGAGATTTGGCCGCACGAGCATTTGACATTGAAGTATTTTTGAAGGGGAATTATTTCGGAACCGCTCATCAGCTGACATTAAATTTAAAATTAATTAATTCGTCTTTATTTACACAGTAAACAGTAGATTTATTTTTAATTTTCATTATTAAATCTATAGATCTAATGATCCTAATTAAAATGATTTAACATAAAATCAAATATAAATTTTTAAAATAAATAAAAATCAATGATCATTTTCAAACTTGACATTTCGAATAATATTAAATAGCTGGTTATATTTAATACACAAAATAAATTTTGAGTGATTCTTTTATGATGATTACTATTATCACTAAAATAATATTCACCAATTATTGATTGCATAAAAAGTGAATTTATTTCGAATGGCCAGTCTATGTAAAATTGTTAAGCATCAGTTATCGTGAAATGATTATTAAATGAACACTGAGATAACACATACACTCGAAAACGATAAATTTTCCATTTCTGTTCGTTATTGCAGGCGAATTTTATCTTGGCAAGTTTCTATGTAGCTTGAAACAATAAGTGTCAATAAAAATCCTTGGCTCAAGAAGCAACTTTTACAGAGATGTAAGATGACAATCACAATGAATTTTAGGTGTAAATTTACGAACTATTTCCTGTTAGCAGGGCTGTTCAAATATATTTCTGGAGTTTGACACAGCTGATACGGTGAATTCTCATGGGCAGTATCACTGCTGATGGAGAGAGGTCGAAACGCGTCTAGTAGACGAACAAATACAGATTCATAAACCCAGCTTACTTCAAAAGGAAATCTGACAATTTTTGTTCAGTCCTTTGCGTCGAGTAAACCAAGAGATTTTAAATCGTTTTCCACTGAACTTGTTCATACTTTCCAACCTTGTTGTTATTAAACCTCAGTCTCTTATAGAGGAATGGCATGCGACAAATGAACTCAACAACACAAAGGATCTGCAGTAAATAAATAAAAATAAAAAAAAAACAGCAATTTCATATCGCGCGCATTTTTCTCTACTCGCTTAGTAAGCAGTTTTTTCATTTTTTCCTCCCGAGTAAAACATCGAGTAAGGAAAATATGACTCCTGCAACTTTGATCAGATAATAAACATAAATGGCTAACTTTTCAAGTTGAAAATGTTTACAAATAAGCACAATCAATGAGGGGTAATTAGCAATATGTAAACAAACGTTGTGTTATTGAACCTTGGGGTGTCTTCTCATTCCTTACCTTTCCCGGAACGGAAAACTCCATTTCCTGATTTCGAACGATCAAAGGGATCATACCATAATATCGATCAATCATCTATCATATTGTCCAAAAATCCTAAAATTGAGACGTCGGGACAAAGCAAACATTATAAAGTGAAAAATCAGGGATCGATTCAATCATGGGTTGAACCTTTTATCTAATGCGTTAAACAAATCCGGCCGTTGGGTCTCCCAAGCAGGAAACGCCCTGGTTTAATTATTTATCCCAAACCGATCATTATAGAAATTCCTGCAAGGAGACTCCCATGTGACCTCTTGGGCCCTGTGTTTACATGTATGACCTGTGCTATTTTCGGCGTTTGGTCGCATTACACCGCCTACTCATTACTGTTTTTCATTTTCTATGCATTGTATCTATTAGTTGTAAAAATAATTTTTACCTAAAATATCGTACAACGGGTTTTAAACGTATAAAGAGGAACGTTTGTTATTTGTTGAATGTTTACCCTGTTTTAATTATCTTTTCTCGTCGCCTAATATGCCTTTTAAAGATGCAAAAATAGCCCTTTTACATTTTATTTTATGGCGTTTCCCTGGAAACTTTTTAATTACGCGAGAGGCAACATTTGATATTTTATTTTTAATAGAAAAATAGCACTGATAACATTTCATTAGAGTAGTGTTTAGTGAGTGGTTTGATAGTTTGGGAAATGTCGAAGTGTGTTCAGGTGGACAGTTTCGGCAGTCATATCAGTGATTAGGAAATCCTTTTGACGAATGGCAAAATTAACGTTTCCTCTTGTTTGACACCATTAAGTGGAGTTTGTACAGATAAGATTAATAAAACAAGTTCAAAGTTGTTTATCTTACCTGTTTCCAAAATTAATTCTCCAGAATTCTGCAGCGTCGCTCTTGGTTATCCTAAATTGGTCCCCGGCGAAAGCACCGTTGGGGAAGAGGGCCTTCAGCTCGCTGAGCATGTGACTGAAGACGAGGCTGAGCTTCGTCAGATTCCTCCTGTAATGGGAGTTTTCGTCGAACATCTTCTCCTTGCCCTCTTTGAAGAGTTTAATGGCCTGTTTGCACTTTCTCATCAAGTTGACGATGAAGACGTTGAAGTGTTCGTTGTTGTGCAGGGACGGCATCCTGTCCTCGTATTTCGAGTATATGAGCCTGAGACGTTGATAAGTATCCGGTAGGATGTCGAGTATGAACGGCGGGGAGTTCTTGAGGTTCATCCTCGGGTGTTGGCACAGCTTCACCACCTTGTCCATCAGCTTCCAAGTCTTGTCGAGCGTCTTTTTGTCCGTCGCCAGCTTGGGAGGCGCGACGGCGTCGGAAAAGGCGACGTGGAGCTTGGAGAATATAGACGAGATCGTCTTGTTCCCTTGCGCCGCCTTGTTGTTGGCCGCCATTCCTCAGGCCAGTTAGTGGGGTTAGCCTCCTCGGTATTTACGTCGGGATTATTTATGGGCAGCTCTCTTCGACTCACAATCACATCTTTCGGTCTTCTTTTACAGTTGGCAAACCGCGGAAGCCGAACACTGCAGACGGTGAACACCTACTTCGACAGTCCCAGAGCGAAGAGCACTCACAAATGATGAACACTGACTGCCCATGTCGGCGACTGATGAAACCGGCCGCTGTGAGCGCCACGGTACTAGCCCGGCTTTACGCCCCCTTCTCCGCTAAACTTTGAAAATGAAAACTTCGACCCTACTTCAAATCATACAAAACGTACGTCAATAAATACTCATTAATTAACAAAGTTGGTATGTTTTTCGTATGTATGTTTTTGGTATGTTATTCGGTGAAGTTCGGCAGTGATCACTTTACTGGATTGTACTACTCTCACTGATTGGTAACTTGGTAAGTCGACCAGTTAAACTCATTCATCAACAATTAATAACCTAGAAACCGTAATTACCAGACACCTACTTCAGATTAGTAAAATACATAGGAAACAGAAGTTTCACGGTGAAATGTGGTAGTGCATAAACAAGAAGCCATGATAGAGAAGCAGGTGTACAACAAGGAAGCGTTCTAGACCTCATCCTATACCCCATTTATGCATCTACCATGAAAGACAAACGAAAGCCAAAACTCAGTAAATTTGATCTTCATCAGGAATATGAAACTATAATTACTGTTTTAAAAGGTTAACCAATACCAAGCAGTAATTATAATTTTATCATTCTGATAAAGGGGGATATATTCCTTGCAAGCTCAATAAAGTTACCCATTTAAACATATTCATGGACAACAAACAATTTAGAAACCATTACTACCAGAAACCTATTCAGATTAGTGAAATATTTCCTGGGAAACAAATTTTCACAAAGTCTAGAAACCATGATAAAGAACAGGTGCACAACAAGGAAATGGTCTAGGCCCCTCATAAAACTTCCTGAAATAATTTTAGATTAGTTGAAGTTGATTAGGACAATACTCAGTACAGTGTTAGCCCCCTCATAAGGACTAAGAAATTACCATTTGAAAATTTTAACAAATATCAACCTTTTGATTAACATCACACATGTTTGTGAGTTTGTTGGTCTGTAAGTCGGTAGTTTTAAAATTATTATTTATTTTAGTTTAGTTTTTTAAAATATTAATTTATAATTCTATGTAGTTTTATAATCCTGATGAAGAGTTTCTTTAAATCTTGCTGCATGTTGAATATAGTCATTGTCGATCGTCCTGGACTGTTTATCATTGCATTCCATCTTTCAGCATCTTTTGTGGTTAAATTGGGACAACAATAACATTGTGCTGGTGTATATATCAATGTACATGACTAACATAATGAAAAAATACTTTTTGACATACCAAAGCAATGAGACTCTGCCTATCTGAAAAGAGCAAATACAATGCAGTATTATCTGCCTTCTTGTGTTAGGCACAAAGTTCACGAACCATAACAGGTTGTCAACTGACAACAGGTGCCCAGTGGTTTTTTTTAGGAATTTGTCTCTTCAAAAGACTGTCTATCTCACTGATTCAAAACTGGTATGTCATCAGTTAAACATATTTATCAACAATTAACAACTTAGAAACTGATACTACCAAACACCTACTTTAGATTAGTGAAAACATTCCTAGGCAAAACAAACTTTCTCAGAGAAATGGGGTAGTTCATACTCAAGTAGCCATAGTAAAGAGTTATCACAAGAAATATTCTAAGCCCCAGACTATGAACAAGAAAATACAGGATTATGGCAGACCCACAAAATAAATCTTGTTTATTCGCTTGTGTTAGAGGCAAAGTCTATATGGAAGCCCAACTTTCAGGAAATGTTTAGTAATTTTTATGCATTAAATTTGTTATAATTACATTAAATTTCTCTTATATTTCGACCTCAACAGTTGTATACAACTATAGTTGTAGAATCGTATTTTCAAAAATGATCATTGCACAGAGAAACTGAACTTATGATTTTACCTTCTCGAAGGTAAATTATATATCTATATATACCATTTTAATTATATATCTATTGCCCACCTTCGAGAAGGAAAAATCATAAGTTAAATTTCTCTGTATAATGATCATTTTTGAAAATACGATTCTACAATTATAAGGATTTGCATTGTCACTTGTTTTTTCAATATCAGAAATTATTCAGTAGACTAATTAGATAGCAATATCAGTTCATTTAATGTTAACAAAATATGAATATATGTTAATTTCATTGCCAATTCAGAAAGAGAAGTTATTTTACTTCCTATTGGTGAAAATTGTATTAGTACTTTCCATAGTCTATACCGCATTCATACCATGCTAATTCAGGATATTGAATCCTTTCTTTACTGGTTCGATGGACGCCCATTGACCCAGTGGGGTGCTGCGGCCTCTGGGCCCGGACCTACCAAATGAATACTTTCAAATTCAATATAAACTTTTTAATTACAGAATAAATTATAATTGAATGTTTCTAACATTTTTCAATTCCTTTATGTAACAGCATTCATAATAGTTCAATGAGAAAGTTTAGGAGCAAACTCTTTGATAGACCTCAAGTGAACATAATTTTGGCAGTAAGTTCACAAACAGCAGTAATTCACTATGTTCCAAAGCTGACATTTTCTAAAAGTGTATGCAATATTTACAATTAATTTCCAATATATATTATTGTTGTTGTATAAGTCTTGTCAGCATATAATCTCTATAAGAAATACACTTGTTGATTACTTGCATAGTTTGATGATGAGCTCGATATCCAGATCACTGCAAAACCAGTTAGTGAGAAGAAATCATTTTTAACTGAATTGAATTGAATACTAAATCAATTGTTACTATATTTTATATTTTTTTCTGACAGGGAAACTGAAATTGTTTTCACACATAAAAAGGATATATCAAAAAATACACCATGATTGGTTTATTACAACAGAACCATACAACACAGTTTACTGTAAAATATATAACAAGATAATATAAAATAAATAAAGTTTGGAATTTTTTTAAAACAATAATTGTGAAAGTATCAATTCATAGAAAGATATCAATTCATGTTTAGCATTAACATATCTGTCTGTTAACAATTAGGAATGTTCATTCATTACTTAAAAGTTTCAACAGCTTCACGTTTTGTTAAATATAAAAAACTGTGCAATTAAAAGGCCATATTTGATACGTAATAAAAGTGCACTTGTGAACACAGTGAACTTTTTTTTTTAATCTTTATTTATTTAGTCGTTGTTTCATTCATACATTTTATTTTTGTGCCAATAAAAGAAAATTAACCGTATTCAAAACAAGTTGCTTTATTGTACCTTTTTGTTTTAATATAAAAGACAAAAATTAACCAGTTTGTAAATGGTGTAAAACTGGTAACTAAACAAGTCATTTTACACTAACCAGCCATCAAAATTAAACTAAACAGATCAACCCAATTTTCAATAGGAAAAAATGAAATTATAACTTAAATAATTTGGGTAGCCATAATTGACAAATTTTCTACAAAGCAATATTTGGATCATACATTTCTTCAGTTTAGTATATATTTAATTTGTTGAGCATAATTTTAATTTAAAGGAAATGATGAATAATTTATTGATGTATTAAACTTCTACATATATAAAAAAATGATACTATTTTGGAAACTATTTTTATATCTCTCAAGAGATTTCAATTGGAAATAATCCAGAATTAATAAATAACAAAATACAATACATTTTCAAAAACTATGAAAACAGACAAAACTGAACAAAATTTAAAATAGCAAAATTTGATAATAAAAATTTTCCAGCTTTAATACTACAAAACTTAGTTTTTCATCTAATTTTCACAATGAAAATCAATCTTTCTTAAAAAAATGTACATTAAACAAATCTAATCTAAACTAAAAATCACAATGATTCTCTTGTCACATAAGTTGCCACATGACTAGAAAGTATCGTAGAATACTGGAAGCTACCGTACACTTTCTCTTGAGTACACAAGTATGGCAAAACTTGTAAAGAGAAACAATGTTCCAGGAATTGATGCAATCATTCTATACCGCTCCTCTGTAACATAAAAGGAAACATACACATTAATGTCACATGAATGTTTTCCAAACTTATCCAGTGGATTAATAATATATTATAACAAGCACTGTATCAAGAGCATTGTCGATAGACGGCCCTCGGGAAATCTGACTCGAGAGGTCATCTTTACTCGATTAGGCCATGCAAGGTTGACATATGAACATTTACTTTCGGGCCAAAGCCCGTGTAGGTGGCTGACATGTAGAGGAACGTCGCTCCATGTTAATTGGAAGGTACCATCCCTTGGCTCCAAGTAGAGAGGGTTTAGGAATGCCACCTGATATGAGAATCATGCTTGAGCATGACAGCAAGTCTTTGGGTTCACTGTTCAAATTTTTGAAGGAAACAGGGTTGTTTTGTTGCATATAGCACTGATAGTTTTTTATCCGAAATGTATGTTGAAAATGAATATATTTATGGGCTTGAATGTGTAGTGTAAAGGGTGATGAAGGATATCAAGTCATGACCCTAATTGCTTGAATGATATATAAAGAAGAAAATTGTATTTAAGAGTGAGTAGGAGTGTGTGTGGGTTCGGACTTGGAGACCGATTGCGTTGGCGACTGAACTGTAGATAGCCTCTTGAGCCCAATCTCGGTGACTGGACGGATAAGGCCGTGGTCTGACCCCGGGCTACCAACACTTGGGGGGGATGATTCTCAAAGCCTGCTGGTAATTTATTGTAAATTACAAAAGCTGGAAATGCTGGTGTACTGTGAGAAGTGGTAGGCTTGTACATATATGTACATACATTTGCAGATTTGAGCTTAGAGATTTGCATGTATGGTCGTTGATAATATCACAAGATAACTTTCTATGAATCACATTGTATAATATTGTGCGGATATTTATAAACGATGTTTTTATTTTGACCTCAACAGTTTAAATTCTAATATTTCCTTCTCAAAGGTGGAGAGGTCATCTCATAAAAGCAACTACCAGCTTTTTTCAGTCCACAATGTTTCGGATTTATTTTAATCCTTCCTCAGGTGAGCGCAGTGGTTAAAATAGTGGTCATCAGACATTAATATTTTGTAATAACTTATTTTAAAAGAAGCCTAAGAAGAAGATACACTTTTTAAGTCTTTTAGACTCCAAAAAGTTTTAATACTTTCATCCCGACTCTAATCTAGTCAGGATCAAAATATTAAAACGTTTTTGAAGTTTGAAGGACTTAAAAAGTGTATCACACTGGCTTCTTTTAAAATAAATCATTACAAAATATTAAAGAATGCTAACAAATTTGAACACACGTTCATCCAATCACAAACCAGAAAGAGAAGTCATTTTACTGTCAATTAGCTAAAAGTTGTATTAAGGACATCTCATCTGAATTGCAATTATACACTTTTAACACATTCGCTATGGCAATGATTTGTAATACCACTCCCAAACCAGGATATTAAAAGCTGATGCAAGTAGCCTTGAGTTGTTCTGGAACAACACTTGTAACAAACAAATTAAATGCTTCAAATCACATAAAAAACAAAAACTTTTAAGCATGAGAACAAAACTGCAATATGTAAATTTTTCATACTTTTTCAAATAATATGTAAAATTAAAATAATACCATTTGCTCACAACACTGCTGAAAGCTGTTATCGAACAAGAAATCCACCAGAAAACATTATTACTTGATATAATTTTTTCATTACTATTTTTGTACAGGGTTTATTTGAGCAAATAGTTTTAATATTTTGACCATTAATCATCACATGCAAGTTATTATTTTTTAATGGGTTCAAATCAACTACCAAAGTGGCAGTGTTTTTTTATTCTTTTTTTTTTTTTTTTTTTTTTTTTATAAATCTTTTGAAATCCGCCTGAGCCAGCATAATCTTTTTATATTTAAAGCCCATTTGTAAGTATGTTGAGTTCGAATGCAGGGCCACTGGATTTCAATCTGGTAAATTTACAGTAATGAGGGCCTGAACCATTGTGACCACCAATGCCCCCTTAATTCCCTTAATTTGTTATTGAAAGTGAGCGAATAAACAACACTTATCTGCACTTCGAAATGGATTATTTCTTACATACCATGACCAATATTGGTCTACTGTGCAAATTTATATCAAGGAAAGGAATTTTTGCTATAAGTATGTGGTTAGGGATGATTAATTATAATTTGCAGTCATGAGGAGCGGTCAAGTCTTGACAAATCATGAAACAACAGGTCACTAAGAAACACAAATATGTATACATTTTTTCTTTTAATATTCTCTAAAATCTCTAAGATAAAATACAAATTTCAAATCGTATATAATTTTGGCTGTAAATTTCAATTTTAATAATACCAACATTGGATACAAATTTTCAGGAGAATTTCTTACCTATGCTAAGAGTATGTTCTGTCATTAAAAATTATGTAAGATTTTTCACAAGTATCTGCACAAACATTTTATTACACAGCGCAATGTACAACCATTAATACACATATTCTCAATTATGAAGTAAGCAAATCTCTAACAGAATACTAATTAAACACAATAGGTATTATTTTTGTCTTATATAAATAGTAAAAGAGTTTAGGTTGACTTTATAGCCCATTTTTACTCTATAATATCTGCAGTTTGCACTACAATAGTTCTCTTATTGTATTTAAGGATTATAGGAAGGAATTAAGGTTGACTTTTTACCCCACCTCTTTCAATTTTAAATTATTGTAATAATAAATATGCATTGCAATAATAAATTATTCTATTTATTAAATTATAAAAACTTCGCACTACACTTGATAGTTATCGTTTATTTACACATTTAGAAGAAATAAGATTTAAGTGTTGTTCTCAAATTTATTAAAACAAATATAAACAAATTGTTACTGATATGTAATAGTAGAGGTATTATTAAAAGACTGATGCCTTGCATGTTTTATTTTACCTGTCATGGGATAGTCTCTCTTTGTAACGGCCCATCCTAAACTTCTCTGAACTGCCATCTTCCATTTTGTATATCTCATATTTCTGTCTAAGAATTATAATGATATTAAACTTAATGGAATCGATTATAGAAATGAAATTGACTGTTTACCATGAGTGTCTGTTTTTGGCCAAAATGTCGTTCCTTTATCTTCGGCGAGAGAAGATGAATCTCTACTCCAACAGTTGATCCCTTGTGCCCAGCCAGCAGCCATCGCACATCCTAATGTGTTAACATCAGCAAAATGTGGTGCTCTGACTGCAATTAAAACACTACTGTTTATATATACAAATTTTATTTGTCTAAACGACTTACCGATAGGAATGCCACATAAATCTGCTTGCAATTGCAACAAAAGACTATTTGCAGTCATTTTCCCGTCAACTCTGACTTTCGACAAAGGCACACCACAATCTTTATGCATGGCTTCCAATATATCCCTTGTCTGAAAGCAAACAGCCTCCAGCGCAGCTCTTATCAAATGGGCTTTTTTTGTAAACTGAGTCAAACCACATAAAATCCCTCGTGCATCCTTTCGCCAGTATGGTGCATAGAGGCCATTGAAAGCAGGAACAAAATAAACATCACCAGTCGTCATCACTTCTTCCGCTATCTGCTCTGTTTCAGATAGGTCATTTAAAACATTCAACTTGTCTCGAAGCCATTTAATGGAATTGCCAGCTATAGCAACTGATCCTTCGAGAGCGTAAATTGTTGGTGCATCTGGGCCCATTTTATAACTGACTGTGGTTAGCAATCCATGTTCAGAATAAACTCTCTGAAAAACAAAATTATACTAAAATACTATGTCTCAAAAAGAAGACTGATTTAATCTCCATTTTAGTTATGTTACATAACATAAAACTAAAAAAACTTACGTTTTCACCTGTATTATATAAAAGAAAACAACCCCCTCTGTATGTAGTTTTGGCCATGCCTTCTTTTAAACAGCCTTGACCAACCAAAGCAGCTTGTTGGTTTCCCAATATCTGTAATAAGGAAAGCCATGAATTACAATTGTTAATACAAGTCGAAAAAAGGGGACTATGGTGGCAGAGTAGTTGGGGCTTCAAACTCGTATTTACCACAACAGCAGTCCAGGGTTTGAAACCCGGCATACCCATGGATTTTGTAAAATAATATGAAAGATGTATTGTAAAGTGGTTTGACCCTCTCATCCGCGACACCCAAAGTGTAGTTGAATGTTAAGGCCTCCTTTATGACAGGAATGACTTTACTTTACTTTTTTTAACTTTTATATATCGAGAGAAGGAAATAATATTTACACTTGAGATAGGTATGCCATCAAGAAGTCCATTTAGCTTAATATGACCATATATCTCTGAAGAACTTCGTATCTGAGGCAGCATACTTTTTGGCACTTTGAATAGCCTTAAAAAAAAAAAAAAAAAAATTAGGTTAAATTGGTTTTAGGGGGAAAAAAATTAAACACCTGCACAGTGTATCATCCCACTCAAGGGTGTCTATATTCATTAGCATTGTTCTTGAGGCGTTTGTAACATCGGTGATGTGCAGGCCTCCATTTGGGCCACCTGTCAAATTCTTCAAATAAAACAGTTCAAATTAAATTACATATTAAAAATAAAAAAAGCCTTGTTTAAAAAAATAAATATAATCTCTAATCACCCAAACAATCCATGTATCAACTGTTCCAAAGTAACACCTATCTTCGCTTACTGCTTTCTTAACGGCTGCAACATTTTCCATAAGCCAGTAGAGTTTGACTGCTGAAAAATAAGTGGAAATAGGCAAACCGCATATCGGTTTAAGGTATTCCTTGTTTTGGGCTGGGTGCTGAGCTAGAATGGTATCAACGATTCCGCCTGTCCGGATGTCATACCACACTAAAAATAAAATTTGTAAATGAAAATGAGATTACAACAAAAAAAAAAAAAAAAAAAAAAAAAATACAATTTATTAACAAAGTCACAGTAAAATAAACTCACTAATAGCATTGTATAATGGTTCTCCTGTAAATTTATCCCAAACGATAGTTGTTTCTCTTTGATTTGTAATACCTAATGTTACTATTTGTTCCAATGTATATGTAGATGTTTGTTTTAGTTTACTAATAGCATTCCTATTAAAAAAATAAATAAATAAAAGATAAACATGGTTCTGATATATTCAGTAGTTGAAAGTAAAATAGATTCAACAATACCTTAAACATTCCTTGATGGTGGTTATTATAGCTAAAGGATCTTGCTCGAACCAACCTTCCTGTGGGCTTATAATAGTAATGTCTGTTTGATAATGTACAATTTCTTCCTTTGTTTTTGGAGAAAGGATCTATCAACAATTTTTATAAATAAGACTTTTTATAAACTAAATTGTTGCATCAATAATCTTACAGCAAAACGAATTGTTTTTGTGCCTGCGTCTATCACCGCGACTAATGGCTGAAGCGGGGTACCTTTTTCATCTAGACTAGGTATGAACTGTGATAGCTCATCAGCCATTTCTGTAATAAAGTGAAACACCCTATTATAAATAAATAAATAATTTATTGTGCATATTAAGGTGATGAAGAAATGCAACTAATTTTGAATTTGAAACCATTCAAGTTTTAATGAGTAGCTTCAGAACACATTTTATGGAAAGGCTACCAAAATGGCTTAAACAAATATTTGTCACAATTGACAACATGGCTGTGATGCAACCGCTATAAAAGGAAACATTTTCCTTTAACCAATATATATTGTTCTTTGATGAAGAAATAAGTGCTTTTTTTCTGTTGGATGTCAAGTTTCACAAGTTTTAATCAGAATTTTGAATGTGTTTCTTTACCACTGTTCACTTCATGTACATATGGAAAATAACTTAAGATGTGGAAAAAAAAAGCTAGGGTCCACATTTTACTATGATGGCGTTTGAACGGCGGGGAATGAGGGGAAGAAAACAAAAACAAAACAATGAAATTGTCTGGCCGAATGTAGAACAGGAAATATTATTGGATAAGGGTTAAGGCCAGTTCTTTATCAAACCTTGACCCCTTAGACCGTTATACACTAAAAACTATTACGGAAATGAGCTGTCAATTCAACTGGTGTTCACAAAAATTGTGTAAACAACAGCTAGAAATGAATATTTCACAAGGAGTTTCATATAGTCATAGATTATTTTATTATGGCTGTTGTTCAAATTTAAAACATTCTTCCCAAAAATGATACAATTATTTTACAGACCTGTGTTTTTGATTATTAAGTTTAGTTTTGTACCAAGATATATACAAAATTTTGTTATATTGCTGGCTTAAACTTTCAACTGTAATAACAAAATATCATTTTTTTAAATAGTGAAGTTTATATGGAATGTACATATATTTTTTAAACTTGTTTTCATTGCAACTTATTAAAACAGACAACTTATTTCCAATATATATGTGCATATGTAAGTTAAAACATTCAATTGAGGCTAATTTGTAATTAATGTTGTAAAATAAAACCAGGGTTCAATATTATTTTTATAGTTTCTTTATTATATATTAATTACGATTTTTATTGAATCGTTTGTCAGGTCTGTTGAGAAGTAGTTAGTTTTTGGTGACTTTTCCGAATTTGGCCATAGCCATGTGGAATTTTTTTAATATCAAAATCATTTTATCACCCACTTACGTATTACATTTGACTGACACATTTTCAAAACTACCAATGATAAACTGTCAATCTCAATAAGTAACTTTTTTTTCTTTTAATAGAAAATGTGAGTCAAATCGTCGATATAAATATAATAATAAATTCCATAGAAAAATGAATACTTGTAGGAGTGTTCACAGACTGGTGAAATTGAACTAATTTTCTTTGTGTTATTAATTTCACTGTTCAAATATTTAATTTCAATTGAACCTACTTCAAGAGTTAAAAAAGTCCATTTATAAGGAAACAGTGTTATCAGTGGTGGTATTATCTGAAGCAAGACAAGAGAAGAACACCAATTTTTCTTCGATCTTCTATTAGCTTTTTAATTAATTGAATGGCAATTATAAAAGTTTTGAGATTTATTTCATAAGCCGGTGAATTTAATAATTTTCAGTCATAAAAAAGGACAATTGTAATTTTTTATGTAATAAAATTTTCAATTTTTAAAATTTCTTTTTTAAATCGAGCAAAATAAATCTCTATCGCCGCTTGGTAATTTATGTTTTACCTAGTACTCTTTATTTGTTTTTTAAGTTTAAAATAGTACGTCTTAATTTAACATGCAGAACAGTAACATTCAACTATAATTTTTTGTTTGTTAATGACTTAGACGTACTTACAGTGAGTGCATCGTCTTTTATATGGTAAATAAAAATTGTTGTAAAATGTCCAACCTTTATTAAACAGCCCTCATCCCATTCATCAACATGCTTTCATAAAGGTTCGGACATGTTAAAAAAAAAAAAAATAAAAATAAATATAAAAAACTAACGTCACCAGCTAAAGTGAAAACATTCTATAACTACGTCATAAGTCATTTAAATATCGTCACTCCCAACAGACGGTTTATTACCATGCCGCACAGAGGAATAAGTATTTTATTTTATATTTCGTTTTAATTGTTAACATATGTATATATTTTACATTTTTTTATTTACTAATAATGTTTTGGACAATTAAGGGGAAATAAGAGAAAAAAACCCACCTCGCAGAAGACACAGGCAGCAGAACAGGATTTTGAAAGACTGATTGAGCCGAGAGGTAAAAGGATAAAGAATAGTGGGGACGTCTACGTAAGAAGGGCGCGGTGTCTTAACAGTCGAACCGATTGGGAAACGCGAAGCTTGTTGTTTTCCCCTTGAGATCGATAATGGAATATAAATTTCAATTTGACATAGGTGCATACGTGTATTGACGGTCAATGACAAAGAATAAATGAGTCAAGCGGTCCGGCAAGAGTCAGTAATACACGATAGATGGTAATGTTTTGTTTTGACCTGACAATAGTATTTTGTTCAACTGTATTTTGACAATTATCTGTCGTGGGTTCGAATCCCTCTCGTGCCATTAACTTTTTTTCATCTCAACTAAAAACCTTAATTAATTGTCATGTATTAATTGGTCAAGCGGACCACGAAAGTAGTGAATTAACGTATTTTGACAGTTAAAAATTTCACAGTATTTTGTAACTTGTTGTAGTCGTGAGGAGCGGTCAAGAATGAGGTAGTTTAGAAAAACACCTTTTTCATCCCCCCCCACCTTTATTCGGGTCATTTTGTAAATATAAATTTCGAACCAAGTATTAAATACTCACATAAAGTGTGGTGCTATTCTTGTGTCATGTTGGCTTTGAGTGAAATTGTATTCTGCTTTTGCTTCATATGACACAAGAATAGCACCACACTTTATGTGAGTATGAAATAGCTGTTCAAAATTTATATTTACATTTGCATTTTATTTTTTTCCAATAAACATGTTTTGTAATTCACCCAGGTCCTGAAGATGACCCGAATAAAAAGTCGAAACGTCGGTAAGAAATGATAAACTACCTCATTTTTGACTGCTCCGCACGACTCCAACAAACTATTAATAACCTGTCACTAAAAAACACATATTTAAAAAAAAAAGTTAATTTCAATATACATGTAAAGATACCTACATACAGGATTTGATATAGTATTACAAATTTAATAAATCGTTTCGTTGAATTATGCTAAGGTTTCTATTAAATATTTATTTTGAATAATGGTTTATTAGCACCTTATTTATTATAAAATACACTACTAGTTTCTACGCTCGATTGGTGGCATCTTTTTCAAATGTTTCGTCGAAGCTATAAGATATGATAAAACAATTTTTTTTAAACTAAATAACTCTATTACATTAAAAAAAAATGCAATACATTACATTTTACACTTAAACATTATTACGTTATTTTCTATTAAAAAATTTTAACTACAAAAAAAATTATTTATATCCTATATAACAGGTTATGTCTAAATTTTTTAAAAACTTTTCTAATTTCTATATATCTATTGCACTTACATTAAATGTTATTTTTGGTGTTCATTTCCTACCAATTCGTTCCCAATATCTCAATCCGACATGTCCCCGAAGGACATGTAGCCACCACCTAGTGGCCAATAAGCTCCCCAAAAAAGGAAAAAGGTATGTATTTCCCATTAGCATGAATTCAAAAATAACATCCAATGTAACAACAGGAATTGCGGAGGCAGGACGTATTGATAGGAAATGAACACCAAAAATAAGACAAATACAAGTTAACAGAAACATTTAATGTAAGTGCAATAGATATAAAGAAAAAAGAAAAGTTAAAAAAAAAATTTAGACATAACCTGTTATATAGGATATAAGTAATTTTTATAATAGTTTTATGTATTGCAGTTAAATATTTTTAATAGAAAATAACGTAATGTTTAATTGTAAAATATGTACTATTGCAATTTTTTTCAAAATGTAATAACTACATTTACTTTTTTTTATTATATGTTATAGCTTCTACGAAACACTTGAAAAGGATGTAACTAATCGAGCGTCGAACTAGTGTATTTTATAATAAATAAGCTGCTAATAAACCATTATTCAAAATAAAATTACAAATATATTTCAACTTACCCCGCAGGAGGAAGAAAGGTGCAATAGCTGTCCGACACATAACAAATATTCAATCTCCGCTGCCTGTTTGCCAGCCCCTTTTATACATCCCTTTTTAACCCCTTCCCGGAATTATCCCCCGAATTTCGATATTGCTCCCCTCCTGCCAGGAATACCAGATTACAAATCACCATTTACACCACTTTACCCCACATTACAAAAAAAGTATAATTATAATCAGGTCTTAGGGCCTTAAATAAAACGACTTTCGTGCACTTCACCGCACTCATAGAGGTGACTTGTGTTTGTCCAGGGCAGGGACACTAAGGCCGGTTTACTCGCCATGGCACCTCCACTACGATAACTAAATACAGGTTTTGATATAGTATTATAAATTTAAAAATAAATATAAAATAAAAAATGATCTCCACTGATCTTCTTGATCTCCACTGCCCTTTCAATCGACGTCCAACAAGTGGAACCTCGAATCTGGATATCACTACCGTCCTGCCGCGAATACCCATTTACAAGTCAACATTCACGTACCCGATGAAATGATTATTAAATTCTAACGGGGGAAAAAGACAGGGTTCCAGCAATTTTGCGTTAGTGCGTATCCAAAAAATCATACTCTTGTTCTTTTACATGACACAGTATTTTTTAAAACACTATAAAACCAAAACTATTAGCAACTGATTAACCAAACAAACGTCAAATTATTGATGAAATTACAGTTAAAAACTGATTAAGTCCATTTAAAAACTAAAAAATTAAGGCTAACAAGTTCATTTGACCTTATTCTACTAAGGTGGAATGATTGGCCAAAATTGGTAGAGAAATCCATCCTGATAATGACAACGACAAATAATGACAAAACAAATTATAATTTTTTTATTGATTAAACAGACCAGGAGATCAAGTATATAACGGGTTTATCGCTGAAATAATAGATACAAATAAAAGGTGACTGTCGGGAGACTACAGATCGACTTCTTACATGAGACTGAGTTGATAAACTTAATTTAATTTTTGTGTAAATAATTTTATGTATGTCTAAATATAATATAATTAATTACAACCCTAGTGGTTGTTTGCCAATTAAAAAATGTTATTTTATCAGACAGTAGAAGTGCATAGAATGTTTTACTAACACTCATGAGCAGCAACGTCAACAACACTTAATCTCAGAAATTAAACCATAGTTAAAAAATGCTGAAGAGAAGTGGGAAGTTATGAGGATTCCGGCGCACTGCGGGATCTTAGGTAATACGAAGGTGGACCTGCTTGCGAAGGAGGCTGCACAAGATTTGTAGTGTAGCGAAAAAACGGAATGTGGAGGGATGACAACGTTGGTATGAATAAATAGGAAAGGGTTTGGTCTATAAAGAGATGATGCCAACGTATCATTGGAAGCTTGGTTTTCAGGAAGTCGTGTTAATTAAAAAAACGTGCAGGATAGTTAGTAAGTTAAAATCTTACCCAGGAATATGTAAAGCATATCTAAAGAAAATGAATTTGGAGGAGAACAACTGGTGTGAATGTCGCGAGGAGGAAACTTTGGAGCACATCGTAATGACGTGTCCAAACTCCATAGTATACTTAGGAGCGGGAAGAAATGTTTCAGGAAGTAAAGTAAAAATTTAACATTAAGCCAGTAGAATACGTCTCAATAAAGTCTCTCTAAGTCTCAATCAGTGAAGGTGTACGGCACAATAGTAAACTTTTTATAAAAAATAAATAAAAGGATATAAAAATTAGACAAAATAAAAAACTAAAGAATTCGATAAATATTACGTGCTTAAAAATGTGTACTTTTCAATAATCAGATCTATTTTAGAGTTTAACTCTAATTATATTAGTAAGCTTGAACAAGTTCAAAAATAGTTTATTAAGATTTTTAGCATTTAATTCACACTTAAATTTAGCCAATATAACCATTGATGAACCTACGAAGCTATGACGACAATTGATTCTCTTAAAATGAGAAAAGTCATATTACTGTTATTATATAGTTATATGAATTGTTAACCTATGTTATAGAGAGTCCAGAGCTATTGGAACGAATTTATTTAAATGTATCGATGAAATTTATGAGATACCATCATTTATTATTTTACAATCCATTCTGTGAAAGAAATGATTTATTTTCACCACCTCCTAAAGAGCTTGTAGACTGTAAATTCCCTAGAGGTAGATGAATTCCAGAACTGATTATTCAGATTTAAAAATATTGGTGAATCTCAATTTCGATTTCAACAATCCAAAAATATTAAACACAGAACAAAATAAACATAAATGTAACTTATTAGAAATTGTTTACACCAACAGATATAGATATAAACACAGCATCAATTAGAGAACAGACACAGGTAAACTTAGTCGCAACTACGCTAATATCATTAATCAAATTCAACATCAATAATATACATATATCAACATCACATCACACATAACATATAAAACAATCATTACATTTCTTACGACAAACATTTCTACATACATTTCTTCAACAATTTAGCTTTTCTTTCCCTAATTAGCCCCGTCTATATAATCCTGAATGGATAATCAGGCCGAACCATCACCCGTTCTTGCCCATTGTCGGCTCCTTTTACCTCAAAGAAGCGGACTCCCATATAAAAATGTTTTCTGTACCAATTTCCTTCCCCACCCCTTCAAAATCCAACGATTATATACATAAAACAGCAATATCTCAATATTTTAGCATTGTATAAATTCATTCTTTTTTGTTATCTAAAATTTTCTAGCATTGTATACCGACTTCCTTCCCCACCCCTTCAAAATCAAACGTATATAAACATAAAACATCAATCACTGGCACTCTCAACACGACACCCATTAATGACACATCAACACCGATAACATACACTTTGAGTGAGTACAAATACTGTTACGAGTTGGATCTTCAGGAGGTCAAATGACGGATGAAATAAAAAGAAAAAGGAACAGCTTCCGGGTTCAACCAAGCTTTCGCCGACTTATATCGCCATCCTCAGTGCATCCCCAAGAAAAATGAATTTATATACATCACATAAGTTAAGGTTGCACATGTTGAGTAAGTAAGGTGTAGAGCGACAGGAGATGAAGCATTGATGCAGGTCGATAACCTCAATTTCGTCATTGAGTACAAATACTTTGATTGGGTCTAAAATTTCTAGCGTTGTGTAAATTCACTTTTTTCACATCCTACATGTATTTGTATAATTTAAACAATGTTTATAAATCCCAGGCCCTGAAGATGATCTCAATAAAGATCGGAACGTTGGCACGATAAAGAAAATGCTTTTCTAAAACCTACGTCCCACCAGACCGCATCTCATGACCTCTGAATAACTTTGATTAAACCTAAAGTTTCTATATTGTGTGCATCATTGTAATAATTCATAATCATATCTTATATGTATGATGATATTAATCAAGATCAAAACACCACACAAAGATCATAACGTTGGCAGGTTAAATAAAATGTTTGTCTAAACCTACAGCCCACCAGACCGCATCTCACGATCTCTAAATAATCATTAATTAACGGTCACTAAATACTACACATTATTATTAATTTTGAATAAAAATAGTAAGTAAGAAAATCTTCGCGCTTCAAGAGAATCTAAATTAAAGTCAGTTTTCAATTCGTCATAACTAATTTCACTTTTGGGGACACCAAATTTGAAAGAAATGAAACGTAGTAATTTATTTTGAAATGTCTTAAGCCTAGAGATATAGGTAATATTATAGGGGGACCAAGAAGAGGAACAATACTCAAGAATTGGTATAACTAATTGGCGAAAATATAATGCAACAGAAAATAAATAACAATAAATAAATAAAAATTATTAGCCTTGTCAATAATAGAATTAAAATGACCGAAACATACGCGAGAATCGATAAGAATGCCTAGGTCTTATACTTAGGTATGGATACTTTAGACAAGGTATGGCCACATAATGAAAATTAACAATTGGGTATTTAGTAAGTAAATTATAAGACGAAATGAGACGGGGAATGAAACAGCAGATAGGCCAACAAAAGATGCTCCCCTAAAAAAAAAAGAAAAAATTGCTTTATTTTCCATGTGTACATATTTAGGACAATACTGACCTCTCTTACAACTATGCGCACAACATTTTAAGTCTTGTTTTCTCAGAGGTTTCATTATAAATATAAATTATTTTTATCTCTTATAATGACGTTTAACCATCCTTAAACAATTCAAGACAGGAATATATTTGAAGAATCAAAAATTTCCTTTAAATTGACACAAATTCAAGCGGACTCGGTAAATTTGTTGCCTATTTGAAAAGATTAAATCTCATCACTAATGAAGCTTGTTCATGTGCCCTTACGTCCGACCATGTGAAGCCTGGTAGGAATGTACTGATCAAAAGTATACATCAAAAGTATCAATCAACTCAAAAAAGGTTTATCTTGACACTTAAACAAACAACCGAATCCAAAGTGGAAGGAAGTTGAAGTTTCAACTACTCATCGATTCGATCTTAACATTTTTGGACGAAGAAGAAAGTCTACTTACCATAGACCATAAATACTACACATAGACCATAAAGTATAGATTAACAACCGGTCACGCACGCTGTTCTCGCTGTTGCTATTGAGAGATTATAGTAGAACTGTCCTTGGGATTTTGCTTGATAAAGCAGCCAAGTATAAATCGTGGATTTACATGATTTAATCTTATCCAGCCTTTTTTTATTTTACGATAAAGGAAGCACATAAGGCATAATTAAGTAATTTAAAAGTCAATGCAGGGTCTCCCTTATTGTCCTGCAATTCCCTAACCATACTTCTGGTGCTTCCTCAGAACGCTTGTTGTATAGTAAAGTTATTTTTTGAATGTAGGTTTCCTTCGCAAGGACTTTAACTCAGTCTTTCTAATGAATATATTTCCACTGTATTTTGTACAGATAGATTATAAACTTTAATCTCAAAACCTACGAACAGTTTTGACTCAGAACGGTATAGCAACAGTTAAAATACATTAATACAATTCAACCAATAAATCGTTTTTATTTCAATTCCAAAACCATATAGGAACAAATCAGTAGACAATAAATACACTTCGGTAAAAAGCAAAATACTGATTCTAGTCGTACATGAGCTGGGAATACGAAAATATTCTTTCTTTGACGTCACAAAAATCAATAGTAAATTTTCGATAATATGAATTATCACGTTTTGTCTTTTCTGAGCGAGACGCACCACAATTGAACTATTCTAGTAAGTTGTGATACAATCAATGCAAATTGCATTGTCTATCTGGTCAATTGGGAGAATGTCGGCAAACTCCAGATTCTTTTTTTTTTAATGATTATTTTACTACATATTCTTAATAACGATATTCCTAATGGAAAATAAACCGGTTTTATTGATCAATATATCAAGGACTTTCAACTTTGGTTGACCCCAAATCCTAACACATCAATAGAATTTCACTTTTTTGAGTGCTAAATGTTAACATATTAACATATTCTGTGAAGAAATATTTTTACAAAACGTAGACATTTTTAACATTTCACATGTTCATCGAGAAAAAATAAAAATAGATTTAACACATTTAAAAATAGAAATGACGTTAGAGTAAATAAGCATTTCATCATCATTTAGTCTGACAAGATCACAAATGTGGAAATAGAATTATCATTTGCAACTGCACAATTAAAATGATTATTTTGGATTGCATTGGTAGCGAAATGCTGAATAATTCGAAACGTTTGAAGACAATAAACTTACAAAATATTAGTTTTTATTTGGAAATCGATGACAATACATTCGTAGGTATCCATGCTATTTGTTAACAAAAATAACTAAAAGGAAAGTCTATTTTTGCTACACAAAACATTTTTTGGACGACCTACTGATAAAACTTATATCGACAATAATTTGTAATTGCTAATTTGCATACAATTTAATCTACTTGTTAAATGCCAACCAGGATAAGTAATTAGAAACCAATACTACCACTTACCATTTTAAAATTTAAGTAAATTTAAAAAATATAGTTTGATCGCATTCGATCATCCTGGTCTATCCTCGCTTGGTTTGGTCGGTCTGACGCGGCATTTGTCCATCTTCAGTATGAGCCTTTCCACTTATAAAAGTGGCAGTCGAATAAGCTAGACCAAACCAGCGAGATTAGGTAGACCAGCATTATCGAAAACGACCAAACCTCAAGCCCATCACTTCAATGACAGTTTAAGGAGAAATCTAACAGTTTAAAAGTTAAAAATGTCAAGTGGCATTAAATGATGTTATTTATGAAGTCTATCTTACGTAACTCAAATCATATTCACATAAGAAGTTTATTCCCAAGCCTCTGCTGGAAATATACATTTTATTTAATCGGACAGAAAACTATCGAATCTGCTTTTGTTTTGATTTACCCTCATTCTTATTTGTATTTAGATATATTTATTACTTTGAAAATATTTCATCAAGAAACAAAACGAATATCATCGGCCAGCGTTCATGAACAAAACAGGCCAGGATTTCCTTCGAAAGAATTAGCAATTTCGAAGTTTAAAAAACAGCAACAACAACGAAATATTTATACAAAACAGCTTTTTTTATGCCTAAAGAAGCTTGTGTCAGTCGAAAATGGCAGTCATCTGATGTTTCAGGAATGAAATTGAGAACTGCTACGGTGTGCAATTAATGTAAAACTAACCTATTTCGCTTAATGATCGTTCCATAGTTTTTGTTGGAATTTCATTAATTTAAAAAAATCTGTTCGCACATTATGTGTAAACCTGTTTCGTGACATCGGACATCCCTTATGATGAAAGTCTGTACTTAGGTAAAAAGGCTTAAATTCCGATTCATCTCATTTTTTACACAAGATAACAGACTATTTCTCAAGTTCATAGTATAGCAAATGATCCAATATTTGACCTCGGCAGAGTCTGATGACATCCGACCACTTGTTTTGGCAAACAGCAGACTCCATCAAAGAATGGAGCTAGTCGTTCTTTTGATTCGAGTGTGAGCTTTATCGATCTAAAGTACAAATATCAGACATTGGTTGCTCGGAGAAGAACAGAGCTGTAGTATATTGGTGGAGAGTTGATACAGCGAAGGGTGAAATTTATTTGCTGGGATTTGGTTTCGTTGACTCTGTTCTGCCATTTCTTGAACCATTCTCCCAGAAGGTCCTAGAGGTTATCACTTCCTCTGGGTTTGCTGAAATTTGCATATTTGAGGAGTATTTT